CAAGATGTTTGATAATATTATCAGATATTCACAATGCTGATTTATATGCTTTTATTCATGAATAAAACTTCTATTTCATGTGATTCTTTAATCATTCATTGATATATCAATCTTAATTGATTAATAAACTGATGAAATCTTCATCTATACTCAGTTTCATGAGCATTTTCATTCTTCATAATAAGTAGAGAGTGAGATCAGAAGTATTGAAATATATGAAAGTATTTAAGCATTCTTTCAGTGCTTTTATATTTGATTCTGTAGATGTTGAAATTGCATGAGTTAATTATTGAATCTCTTTGTATTAAAGTTATTGAGTTGCATGTATATCAGCTATTTATTATTATTTTAATTTTAACATTACTTAAAGCTACTGTGATATCATATCTATGCTTGTGTTCAAGAGTTTCATATTATTATTAGACATGATTATATCAATCATTAAATGTATAATATCTGTGAAATCTGAAGAAGTGTAATTATATTCTTATATATCTAAGTATCAGAACTCTCAGATCTTTTGCTGATATTCTCTTATAAGATTGTATTCTCTTTATAAGATCTTGTTGCAGAGTCAGAGTGACTGATGAGTAAGCTTCTATCTGAGAACTCAGTGTCTGCTTAACTGTTTAACTGTTTCTCTATGTCTTATATATTGTTACATATTCAGATATCTCTTGATAAATAATTGTTTCTGATGAGAAAATAATGTGTGAATAATCATTTTCTAATAAGAAGATGATGAATGTTTTTATAGTGTAAGAGATCTACACTGAATAGATCAGTATAATATTATAGATCTTATGTAACAAAGATAAAAACATTAAAGAAGGAAAGAAAGAGAAAGTGCAAGAATCAGTGATTGAGGTGAATATTTATACATGTATGTGGTGGTGTACGCGGTGGAGCTTCGGGGCGGAAGAATATGCGCGCGTTTCGTAGCGGCCGCGGATCGGCGATCGGGAATGAAAGAATCTATGAAGTGTAATGAAATAGTCTATATGATTTGATCGGGCGCAGCCCGCCACACTTATTATGAATATAATTCTTCATTACTCAGTGATATTGTGAATAACATTTCAAAGAGAGAAATAGACAGTCAGAATATTAAATAGATACAGAGAACAGAGTATCTCTCAGTATCAGAAGTAAAAGTAAGATTGAAACTTTTGAATAAAATTTATAAGAAGACAGTGAAAAGTATTCACTGTGTTCAGAAGTAACAGATAAAATACTATAATTGAAAACATCTTTTAATAAAGTTCTTGATAGAGGATTAAGTACTACTTTCAGCAAAGAATATCAAGATAATAAGACTGTGTAAGAAGCTCTGTAAGTAGTGACTAAAATCTTTCTCAGTAATAAGAGTAATAAGTAAGCAGATATATGAGTTGAAATTACTCACAGAATTGAAATTAATTCATTCTATTTTTCACATTTTCTATTTAAAGCTCTATAAGTAACACTCTGAGACAGAGCTGTCTCAGTCAGATAATATTGAGATTGAGAGTGATATTAAATATCTTATAAAGAAAATATTGAATAAGTAAATATATTACAGTAAGCTTCAATATCTTATAAAATAAGAAGATTATTTATTATCAGAGAATTTATAAGAATCACTTAAGTATTTGAAAAATGCTGAGAAAGAGATTATAAGCTATGAGACAGCTAGTAGAGACTGCTCTATTATATATCAGAGACATTGAATAAGAAATACTACTTAAGACTTCTCATTTTTCTTAAAAAGTTTTTTTAGAGATAATCTTACAGTGATAAGCTAATGTCTTATGAGCTCTGTAACACTCTTCTTCTATTTTCTCTTAAAGAGTATTTTAGAAGTTTAATAAGACTATATAAGTGTAAAATTTCTGAAGTAATTAGAGAAAAGAAATATTTGAAATTAATAAAAAAGATTAATATTATTAATCTACAGACTGCTGCTATTCTAATGAGGCTGCAGCTCACTGAAAAAGTAAAAAGAAGAATCAGAGTCTACTCATTAATAATTATACTCTCATTAAACTCATTCTTCACTGTTAAAGTCTTCAGTATTAGTATTTTTATCTGCTGAGAAGTTAGCACTGCAGCACTGCAGAAGAGTATGAGAAATATATAAAATATTAACTTATTAACTTATAAAGTATCTCAGTTATCTACTTCAATTGAAGTGAGATTCTCTTCAATTAGTGATTGATCTCTACAGTACTTTCAATAACAGTGTTAGCTGATCTCTTCTTAAGATCAGTTATTCTGAGATGTTTTTTCATCTTGAAGATTCATATCTTTGTCTTCTTTTACAGATAAGTAAGAAGAATCTCTTCAGTCTTGACAGAATTTATTAACACTTGAAGCTCTGAGACTCTCACTCTATACTGCTTAAGCATCTGAGCTTCTTATCAGAGCTGATATGATGTCTTTCTGTGAGATAATACTTACAGAAAGACAGAAGTCCTTGTTGCAGATACAACAGAAATAATAAGAGTGAAAGAAGAGATAAGTGTATAAAATTCTTCTCTTCTTCAGCTGCTTAGTGCAGTACAGATAAGTAATGATATCAGTCAGAGACTGCATCAGAGCCTTCTCACAGAGAGAAGATAAAGAAACTGTGAGACTCTGCAGACTCAACTCAGCAGTATTCTGAGCAGGGCTCAGCCATGTCACAGGAGAAGATCTACAGATTGAGCTTCTCAGAGCTGCTGTCTCTGAAACCAAGCTCTCTCTGAGGTTCTCTTCAAATGATCACACAGGGTCATACACCACTGTGTTGATTGAGAGGGGGGGGCGGCGTCGCAACAGCAGTGAGAGGGGCAGAGAATGAATCAGATACAGATCATGTTCTGATCACTGATTCTTGACTGCTATATCAACTGCTCCACCACGAACTCACTCGATTTTTTGAATAAGAACCCGCCGATAGATTCATCAAAAAGCCCTTGATCATACAAGCATGTGGACCCCATCGCCGACCACATACCCCGTGTGGTGGTGGAGATATCCAGCCAAATGTGAACTAGACGTTGTTCAAAACTCCCGTGTGGGATTATCCCCCATTCACCCCTATCACACCACAACCCCGGACCAAAGTGCCATACAAAATGTAAGATGAAGAGACATAGTCATATGCACCAATCTTCTTGATTTTGAAAGATTCTCAATCTGTAATTGTGAAGATATCTGAGAAGTAATCTCTGTGAAAACCCTGTCCATCTTTGATGTTTCAAAACATCAACATCAAGTCTCACTCTCATATCATCCTTCTCAATCTGGCCCATTCTCAGCAGAAAAATACAAAAAGATATCTCAGTGATAATATCAAGTATATAATCAATAAACACTTCTGAAGTGCAATCTTTACAGTCTGTTGTCAGTGTATCTAGACTTCAACATCAAGTCTCATTCTTGTACTATTTCTCTCAATCTGGCTCATCTCTGACAGAATAATACAAAAAGATACCTTGACAACAGCATTCAATACATAATCAGCAGATAACAAGTCAACAGCACATCAACAACTATAAAATCAGTATATCTCAAGATCTGACTGAACCTTTGATCCCTGCACAGTGAGATATATTAAATCTAGTTTTAATATCTCAATATTCAATAGATTCTGCAAGAGATTGAGAACAGTAATACTAGATTTCTATTGAATTTAAGAATTAACTCTATATTGATATAATCATTGACAAAGTCTTCTATTTTAAGATATAAATAATCAGTTCCTCTACATCTCACTAATAATATTTATATTATCATATAGAAACAGACTTATATTCTCTATAATATTAAGACTCTGAAGAGAGAAAGTCTTGATAGAGAGTATATAGTAGTATATATCTTAGTAGTTTCTATCTCATTCTTCTGCAGCAGTTAATGTAAAAAAAAAAAAAAAGATCTTAGAAATAGTTTTTTACTTCTCTTGAAAAAGTAAGATGTTTTTCTCTGAATTTTATACAATATTCTTACAAAGAATAAAAAACAGAGCTGTTTTCTGTCATAATTTTATATTCTTTTAAGTAAGAATTACTTTTTCAGTGACTGAAGAGCTTTTATTAATACTTAATTCTTTTTTATACTCTTTATTAACTGATTTGAGTTGTACACTTGTTGTGTAAGAAGAATTGAATGATTTAGAATAAAATTGAATAGTTTTAATCAATTTCTCTGTAAAAAATTGATTTATTTTTTATCAGTTTTTCTCTTAAAAACTGTTATATCATCTGATTCATTATCAATTGATATTATACTCTTTCTCACTGTATCTCAAGAAAGAGATTGTAAAGATTTTATTGATTTATCTCAAAAATCAATTTTAGTTTATTAGATTCTCTTTAAAAATCTAATCTAGTTACTGAACTAGTGTGAAAAAAATCAGGTGTTTTATATACAAAAGTCTTTTATTCTTCTTTTGAAACAGTCTGATCAACTTTTCAATTGAAAACAGACTTAGAAATATCTCAATTGAAACAGTCTGATCAACTTTTCATTGAGTGAGAATAATGAGTTTAAAAATACACTTAGTTGATGTGAAAAAAGATGCTTTCTCAAATACTATTTCTAAGATTGAAATTCTGAAGAGAAGAAAGAAAGAAGAAATAGAGAAATAACAAGTTCTTGAAATACAGAAACTTGAAAAAGTAAGCAAGAGTCTTGAAAAGTAGTGTCTAAGTGAGATGAATGAAGAAGTTCTGTTAATTTTTCATACTCAGGCTAGACAACTACAGAAGATGATCAAGTTCAAACTTGGAATCTCAAACACAGTTTAAAAAACATTGAAAATTTCTAGTATAATCACTGACTCTTCATCTTACTCTTCTTCTTTCTTTTTTTCTACTTCTTCTTCTTCTTTGAATCAGAAGAAAATATATACTCAAGCAGCTGAATCTACTGTCTCTAAACCTGCTATCTCAAAATCTGCTTAAAATCCTGAGAAAACTGAGAAGAATACTGCTCATATCTCTATTCATAGAAAAGTAAAAAAGAAAATGTAAAAAGAGAAAAACTTTCAAATCTTCAGAAATAGAAGACTTATTCTCAAAGTCTTAAATCAGAATATTCTGCAAAGAAACAAGCTAAACTTAAATCTCATTTTCAGAATCAGAAATGAAATTAATCAGCAGTTCTTTTCTCAGTTAATGACTGATATTAAAGTTCAAAAATCAGTTATAGCTTTAATTGAGTTATTATTCTTTAAAAACTTCATCATTCTGACTACAATGTCTGAATTCAGTACTGAATTTCTTATTCAGAATGAGAATCTCTGAAAGTCAGCAGTAGAATCTTTACTAAATATAATAATTCTATCTGAAAGAGATGAAAAGTGAGATAAATTCATTCTTTATAATATTTCAGTTGAAATTTTTGACTGTGAAGAAGAAATGCTACTTCTCAAAAATGAATTGAAAGAATATAACTCTATTCAACTGAGAAAGAAGCCTGTATAACTAAATTCAATTGAGTTCAGACAAAGCAGGAGAAATGTCTCTATTCTAGTATATATAAAAACACTTAAACAGTCAAAGATCTCTGAAGTAAGAGTAGTAGATTTAAAAATGAGAGTTCATGAATACAAAGACTCAAGAATGAATCTCAAAGCTCAAACATAGTGTTCAAACTATCAAAGATATAAATACTTTACAATCTCATATTTTAGAGACTCAAAATGTGTATTCTGTATCAGAGATCACAAAACTAGTGAGTATAAATGTGAAATATGCTTAAAAAGAGATGAAATATGTTAATATACTCTGCTTAAGTGCTCTAATTGTAAAGAAAAACATGCATCTAGCTCAAAAGAATGTATATTTGCTTCTAGAACTTAAAAGAACTGAAGAAAAGATAAAGCTCAAAGTTAATTTAGAACTGAAGAGAAGAGTCAAGTCAGTAGACTTATAACTACAAGCTTAAAAAGAAGAAACTCTCAACTATTTAAATCTTTAAACTTCAATTCTTCAGCTGAATGTAAATAGAATTTGAATTCTTAAACTTCTGTTAAGATTAGAGAATTGAGAAATAACTCTGATAATAAACTAGATATAATAGCCCCGGTGGCTGAATGGTTAATGCGGCCACCCGGTAGCACCTTGGCGTGGGAAACCAAGGCGCGTGGGTTCGAAACCCGCAGGGGATACATTAAATCTGGAACTCAAGCACCTCAGGTTTCTAATAAATACAGAGGTGTACAAATCGCTCCAATGAATTGCTCTATGTTCCTGGGCTGGGAAGTTATTATCGCATGTATCTAATTGTCACTCCTTTGTATTTTCCTATGTTCTTGTTATCTTGGCGTGGTCTCAACACCTGTATTTCCTCCTGTATAACCAACACTTGACCTGTATTTAACATCATGCAAGGACTCATCATAAGCTCCGCTTGCATATGAGTATAATGGAAGAATAATAATAATAATAATAACTAGATATAATATAAGCAGTTGAGATTTCTTCTTTTCAAAATAGTTATAATCTACTATCTGATGATAGTGACTAGATTCTACTCTATCTCTACTCTCTTTTAGTATGAATATATAATAAAAACAATAAAAAAAGTTTAAAAACTCTTTAAAAATCATATTTATTCAAAATAATGTGAATAGAAACTTAAATTGTATTTATTCTTATCTTCAAATTATATTTGAATAAAAAGTTGATTTTATACTACTTCAGAAACTGAATTTTGATGCTGAGTAAAATTACATCATTTCTTATTCAAGCTACTACTGCTTTCTATCTTAAAAGTCTGAGATAAAGTCAAGAGTAGTGATCTATGAAAGAAAGAGATCAAGATATTAATTTAATCTAAGATTTAATATCATGTCTGACTCTGATATTCTGATGAGTGATATTATAGATAAAGAAAATGAGTTTAATACTATACAGCTTATAAATATCTATAATAAGAAGTTATTGAAGAAAAATAACAATATCTGAACAATTGATAGAGAATTTCTGAACATAACTTTATCAAGAAACTCTATAATTGCAGGAGATTTCAATGCATATTATCTCTGATGAAATTCAGAATATAAGAGAGTAGTGAGAGCTGATAATCTAATTGAATGAATCTTTAAGTATTTAATAGATTTGATTAATAAGTCTGATCAATAAACATTCTTTAGAAAAGATATGAAACAGAAATCTATTATAGATCTAATCTTCATATCATAAAATCTAATGAAAAGAAGACTTGTAAACTAATTTATTAATTCAAATAACACATCAGAATCAGATCATGAGATTATTCAATTTAATATTGAACTGAGTGAAAAATAAATAAGTGAAAATTCTCTTCTCTCTAATCAGTTTAACTTTGAAAAAGCTGATTGAAAAGCAGTTAAAGAAAGTATAAAACTGTTAAAATCTAAAAGATAGAATGAGCTATATTGAAATTCTGATCAAGATATCTCAAATGAAATGCTTAAGAATAGAGTGAAGCTTATTACATCTATTATTCTAATAAGTGTTAGAGATAATATTTCAAAGAGAAAATCTTCTGAGTATTCAAAATCTTGATGAAATGAGAATATCTCATCTAAAAGAAAAGAATTAGCTACTGTTAGAAGAGATTGAAAGAATGATATAATATCTGATAAAGAGTTCAAAGCTGTCAGAAATGAATATTTTTCAGATATTAAAAGAGCTAAAACAGACTGCTGAAATAATTTTCTTGAAGAAGTATAAGAAAAGAAAGTTTTTAAAGCTTTTAACTATACTAAAACAAGAAATGTAGCAAAACTTTCAGTCTTAGAATATGAGTTTCAGAATGAATCATATATAGCAAACTCTTTTGAGAAAAAATGTTAAACTTTTATAAGAATTCTCTTTCAGAACTCATCAGATTCAGATTCAGATTCAGAGAAAGAGAATATATCACTTCTCAACTACATTAATGAAAATGACTGGAAATGGCCTGATCTTACATAAGATGAATTAGAGTCAGCTATCTTCTCAAGTTCTATTAAAACTGCTGCAGAGCCTGATTCAATTAATCACTTAATTATTTAAAATATATATTCCTACTTAAAGAATGAATATTTTGAGCTCTTTTTCAATCTCTTGAAAAATGAATATTATTCTGAATGCTGGAGAGAAGTCACTGAAGTAATTCTTATAAAATCTAATAGAAACACTTCAATTTCTAAGTCATATAGAGTAATATCTCTATTAAACTGTCTAGAAAAGATTTTAAAAAAGATAATAGTTACTCAACTATCTTTTATAAGCTCTATTAATAACTCTCTTTTATTCAGTGAATAAATGAGAGATAGAAAATAATATTCTATAATTAATACTGTTCTCTCAGTTATTCATAATATTTAAATAATAAAGTATGAAGATCTGATCTCAACTGCAGTTTTTATTGATATAAAAGAAGTATTTAATCATATTTCAAAGTCAAAGTTAATTCAGACTTTAAAGATATTAAAACTATTACTTTCTCTAATAAAATGAGTTAACTATTTTATATTTAAAAGAATTATACAACTTTTCTTTGATGAAATGAAATAAGACAAGACTGAGATAAAAATAGAAGTATTATAAGAATTTTCAATCTCATCTATTTTATTTACAATATACACTGTATATCTATTTAAAAATAGAAATATAAGAATAGTGTGATCTCTGAGTTATATAAATGATATTAATCTAGTCTACAGCTTAAAAACTATTAAAGAGAATTTAAAAGTGATTGAAGAAGCTGTAAAGAAAATCTTTATTAGAGTAGATATCAATTAAATTCAATTTAATATAAATAAAACTGAGTTAATTCATTTCTTTTCTAAATTCAATGAGAAAGAACTATCTCTAACTCTTTTAAATAGAGAGATTAAACTCAGTGTAAATATTAAATGATTAGAAGTATGATTAAACTTCAAGTTAAATTTTAAATATTATATTCAACAAAGAACTGTCAAGACAGAAAGACTATTGAATAACATAATCAGACTATCAAATACAGAGAGAGATCTATTCTTTCAGACTATGAGATAGTTATATATAGTCTGTATTACATCAGTAGCTGATTATGAAGCTCAAGTTTAATGAAATAATCAAGAGAATTTCACTGAACTCTTTCAAAGTCTGTAAAACAGAGTCTTGAGAAGAATTCTAGAAGCATTCAAATTATCTTCTATTAAAGCAATGAAAATTGAAGTTTCAATTTCTTCTTCTATTATTAGATTTGAAAAGACCTGTATGAACTATACACTGAGAGTTATAAAGATAAGCTTAAATTATATAATCAGAGAAAGAGTCTCTTCTTCATTTTTATTAATTAACTCTGAAAATAAACTGGATTAGAATAGATTTCTTGATTGAAATGAAAATAATTCTTTAAAGAAAATGTCTTCTTAACTTTACAGACTATACTCTCTGATTAAAAATCAATTTTTTTCTTTAAATGTTGAAAAAGTGAATCATGAGAAGTTATCTCTCTGAAGAGAAAAGCTTGAATCTCTTATAAACTTATAAATAAGTGAACTATCAAAAGAGAAAGAATATGAACAGTATTTGAAGAGAATTTCTACAATTAATATAAAAGACTCTATTCTGATTTATTCAGATGACTTAAAAAATGAGAATCTGAATAGATTAGACACAGACATTGCTTATACTGAAGATAATATCAATTTTATCTCAGATTTCTGAAATCTAGACTGTGAATCTGAAGTCTTTGATACTGAACTATTCATAATAGTGAAAGCTTTCAAACTCATAGAAATAAAATCTTATAAAAGAGGAAATAGTTTGAAAGAGATATAAATATTCTCTGATAGTCAAGCTACTTTAAAAAGACTTAGAAATAGTCAGATTCATAATGATCAAATAAATCTTGAACTGATCTTAAACTCTGTTTTGAAAATTCAAAAGAGAAGAATATCAAAGCTGATAATTCATCTACACTGAGTTTCTGCTTATATGAATATTCATTATAATGAATTAGCTGATTCAGCTGTAAAAAAGAGTGCAGAATTAAACAGATCTATTCAAAAAATTATATTCTAATCTTTTATAAAGAGAAAAATAAAAGAATCTTGTTTAGACAAGTAAAATGAAAGCTGACAGAAATAAAAGAAGAGTATACATTATTCAAGATTTCAAACAAAACTCAAGTGAAAATCTTGTTTAATTAAATATAAAAAGAAAATATTCTTATCTATAATACAGCTGAAACTAGAACATGGCTATTTTAAATCTTATATACAAAGATTTGATGATAGATTTGACTCA